CCCCAAAACCCCAAAACCCCAAAACCCCAAAACCCCAAAACCCCAAAACCCCTAAACAGTAGATATGACTTGAATAATTATAATTACTTAATTGGTAGGGGACAATAAGTAATAAAGAGCCGTTCAATAATTGTTAGAGTTCTTTTCTAACTCAGTTATTATGTATTGCTTTGGATAACCAAAGTTTTGCACTATGAAATCTACTAGTTCATAGTCTATGAAGATTAGATTGAGTTTTACCGATGACAACTTGATCAAATTCTGAAATATCATGTGCATTGACTACCTCCTCTTCGCTATTCTCCTCGTTTAGATCTTGGTTATTTGCTAGGTCCTATAGAAGAAGTTCTTGAGTCAGCTTACCTGAATACTATCGTGGACACTTTCTAGCAAGCTTTCAGTATTTCGGTTATAAACACCATTATCGAGATCACCGTTGTTGTTATTTTTCATATTCTCTGTCTAGCTCTTTGACTCTCCCTTTAAACTTTATGGTCTTTTTCTTGGGAATAGTTAAATCTGATAGTTTAGCAAATTCGATCAATCCTAACTCAGTCAGAGTAGAGTTAAATGGAGCCAAGACTACACTTTTAGTGGTGATATTCTTAATTAAAGCATTTTGAGTTGAATCAATGTTTCCTTCAGTGAATGGCATTTCATGCATCTCAGTGTTAAATGTATTCATTCGATACAAGTTGTAGATATTTTTAGCCTTAGAAATATTGAATTCATTGTCAATTTCCTCCATCTCTTCTCCATTAAATATGTTCTCTTTAGGCTTAATATTTTGCATCCACTCATGAGCAAGGATCTGATTAATATTGTATCTTCGAGTTTCATCAACATTAAGGATCTTTCTTAGTAAATCTTTGGCAGATTCTGATGCTTCATCTCCTAATTTATAATCGCCTGCCAAGATATAGGGGTGCATTTCCTGAATTCCGTTGCCTTTAAATGGAACTGAGCCATAAAGCATTGCATAAAGTACCACTCCAGCAGACCACACATCAATACCAAAGTCTGTGTATCCTCTTCCTCTGAGGATTTCTGGTGCAATATAAGCTGGAGTACCACATTGCTCAGTCATGAGCTGCCCTGGTTTGGCAAATCGAGAAACCCCAAAGTCACATATTTTAACTTTGCCTGTTTCATCTAATAAGATATTATCTAATTTCACATCCCTGTGTAGGATGCCTTTAGAGTGCATGTATCTGAGCCCATCGATGATCTGAAGGAAGAGATACTTAGCTAAGGATTCCTTGAGTCTTCTTCTCTTCCTAACATAAGTAAGGAGGTCTCCTCCAACTCATAATTCGTTGACATACAGCATGTGTTTTTCGCTTTCAAAAATTTCATAAAGTCTAACAATATTTGGGTGTTTTAGTTTTTCAAGGATGCTCATTTCTAGAAGAACTTTCTTCTTCGCACTCTCATCCTGCATATGTTTCTTGTTAAGAGACTTAATGGCCACTATTGGGTTAGAATTAGAACTTACCGAGTCTCTTCGCAAGTGTATGCATTGCAAGGTTCACCTTTCCAAAGGCACCTTTTCCCAAAACTCTTCCGATTTTGTAAAAGTCAGTGGTGGTTTCAGGAGGAGACAGAGAATTGTTGAAACTTCTCCTAATGAGAGACACGACAATGTTTGTATGAGCTTCAAGCTCCTTATTTCTATCTGTAGTAGGCCTCGAAGAGAGCATTGGACTCCTGGCCTTTTCTAAACCCTCAAGGTTGTTGAGTCTAAATTGGCTACTGAGGATCTCATTATTTTTGCTCACATTCGCCTCATTTATTGAATTTGATAATTGACTTCTATCAGGGTAATTTCCTCCTGAGGAAGACAGATTATGTATTTTCTAGAAAATTAAAAAATATAATACTTCTTCTTCTTGTTTATGGGAAGGCTGCCTTAGGATTTCAGCTTGTCGAGGGGATATGCCAAAATTTGAACCACTACTAGTTCCTTCTGCTACAACTTCATTCATATCTCCGTTCCTTTTCAGATTCTTCACTAAGGTAATTTTGTTCGAATTTATGTCAAACTTATTCCCTGAGGCATATTGGAAATTGCTTTTTATACTATGAATTGGGAGTTGGTCATCTTCTCAGTTGTCCATTATCACTGGTGATTGAACTGTTGGGCCCATTGGTGGTTCAATATATCATACATCAGGGTTGATCTGACTCACAGGCCTGTCTATTCGCTGGTTCCCTTCTTTAATTGAAAGACTGAGCATCATATCATGCTCTTTCTCAGAAATACTCTCTATTTGTCATAAATGTTGGAAATTACTTTTCTTTGAAGGATAGTTCAAAGGAAGCTTTGTGGAATTTCCTCTAAGTTTCTCAATGATGCTATCCTTCTGCAAGTTAGGCTGAGAATAGCACTTATTGATTCCAGTGCTACTCTTCTCATCAGCCTAGAATGTTATGATTGGAATTTACCTCATAGTTAACAAAATCATACTGAGAAGGCTTTGATGTCTTAGCTGTTCTTGTATCAACAGACTTTTTCAAAAATTCATCTATTAGTCAAGTTAGAAGTCTTACCAGAGATATTTGAGAGACCTTTGTCTTGGATAATCTTGAATGGGCGCTTAGGGGAGCCATAGTTCAGAAGCCCAACATTTTTGCTCATCTTATTACAGTTTTTGATGTTCTTTACTTTGCTCCTACAATTTCATACAGAAATATTTACCTTGGGGATGTATAATTTACGCTAGGCTGGCCAGCACTTCCACTTCCTGTGGAGGCTCCTCTTTTGCTTAGAGAACTAGATGTAAATTTATACTCAAAAGGCTTTTGCTCATAGTATCCCTTTGTAGAATGAAGAGCAGGGTCCTTTTTATCTAGAGATTATTTAACAAAATTACTGTATTTGTACTTCATTTTAGGGGAGATTAATCCTCTTCTTACATCGTAAGTCATCTGAGATTTCTTTTCCTTTGATTTAGATTTTAAATGCGTCATTCTTCCATCAATAGTACTTGGGCCTGAAGTGTAAATATGGTTATTATTTTGGAAATTATAGTTATAACTATCTGAAAGAGTCCTAGTATGTCCATGCCCTGGCTTATCTTTCAGACCTCCCTTGACCATCTCATTCATCGAAATAATATTTGAACTGGGTATCACAACATGATTGTTGACCTTAGGACTGATTGGCTACAAGTTTGAGATCTCTCTGACACCCATTGACCCATCTATCATGATCATATTATTCTTGTTCTTGAAAGAAATTGGTGCATTAGACTGGGACTGGTGATGCCCATGTCTGCAGGTTTTCTTCTTTTTACTCTTGGATCCAGAATATTGTTTCTTCGCACTCCCTTTTGTTGAGATATGCCCTTCATAGTACATTGGAATATTACTATGACTTTTCATGTGAGCAGGCTTTTTCTTTTTCTTTTTCACTTTAGATTTAGAGCTAGTGCCACAGTTGGAGTTACTCTGGTGACTAAAGGAAGTATTGGACCTCCTTGGATTACAATACTCTTCAGTCTTGTTGTTCTTTCCTTTTACTGTATTCTTTGCCTGAACGTATTTGGTCATTTTCCTTTTCCCATAAGATGAGGAATTCTGGTCACAGAAATTTAGGAGATTACAGGAAGTTGAGTTATTGATCAGATTTGCATGAATATTTGCTTTTGATGTAGTCTCTGTGCTTGTTGTAAGCCTCTTACTCTTCTTCGTATAGTTCATCAATTGGGACCCTATAGATTTCGAGTGATTCTTCGGGTGAGAAATGTCAGTATTTCTCTCATTTTGCTGTTTGTTACTCGAAACCTGCCTCCCTTTCTTCTTAATCTTATTATTGAGAGAAAAGTTTCCTTTCTTTAAGCTAGACATGGACTCACTAGAGTAATGACTCTTGCCGATTTCTTTATTAATAGTCTTATAGCTTTGCCCTTTCTTTATCTTTAGGTTCTTGGTCTGATGGCAACTACTCTTACAGGAGTGGCGTAGCATCGCCTGGCTATCTGCACTCTGCCCGTTTGGATTGGAATACTTCTTGAGTATCTTACCATTCTTTTTAATAAGGGAGGACTGGCTTTTCAGATTATTTAGAGAAACTTCATGTTCTTCATCATGCTCTTCTTTTTAGTTTTGAGTGTGTAGTGAGGTGTTCGCTCAGTGGAGATTATGTCTTCACAAATAAACTCTTTTGGGTAGGCTATAGTTTGAAATTTTACATTTCCATCCAGACCCAAGAAATATAGAAGCCATTGCAGGTCAAAAATGGTATCTTACCGATGTTGCTAGGGCTGGTGACAGGGTTAAAACTTGGCTTACTAGGTCTAGTAAGCTCATATAACTTATCTATGATTTAAGAATTTAAATTTACTATTGTTTTCCTTATACTTTGTCATAATGCTACTTTTGCTTTTGACATGCCTACTGTTCTGCAACTGAGAATTAATATTATGGGGGCGTTCTTCATATTTCATCGGGTCTTTCAGGGTCTTTGAGTTGGGCCTCTTGATGTAGTTCTTCGCTTGAAGTCTATCACTGCTATTACTCATTGCAACAAGTTAAAAATATTTGAATATTTATTGGTATTTGGGGTTTTGGGGTTTTGGGGTTTTGGGGTTTTGGGGTTTTGGGG